CGAAATATCGTTGTTACAGAGTACATATTACGGCTGCGGATGACAAAAATATCAAATCGGATGAAAAATATGTATGGGAGCTATAGTTATATAGCTAAACCGATTCCGATAAAATTTGGCATACTTATTTCCAGGCTTAATTTGGTCGTATATGCAAAATTCTGGACAATTAAAGGCAAATCGATCGAAAATATATATATGGGAGCTATATCAAAAATTTTCACCGATTATCTCCAATTTCAAGAGGGTACGTCCTTGGGTCAAACACATGACTTGTGTAAAATTTCATCTAGATCGGGCAATAAATACGACCTGTAATTTGTTTACAAAAATACATGGACAAACAGACGGACAACCGGACGGACGGACATGCATAAATCTACTCAGACTGTGTTTCTATGCAGATTATCAAAAGGAACGAGGTAGACCCATCGTTTCCTTTTGCCTGTTACAAACAAATGCACAAAGACATAATACCCCCTGACCATCTTGTGGTGTAGGGTATAAATTTTTTGGAATTATTTCGAATATCCTCTAAAATATTTTATTTCCTTTTTTTGGAAATTTAGGCACCATCCAAAAAATAAAAAGGTTTTTAATTATTTTTTTTTGAAAAAAATTTTTTTAAATATTTTTTTTTGAAAATAATTTTTTTTTTGAAAATATTTTATTTTTTTTTGAAAATTTTTTTGATTTTTTTTTTTTTTTTTTGGTTTCAAATAATATTTTTGCACATGGCAAAATTGACACCACCCAAAAAATAAAAAGGTTTTAAAATATTTTTATATTATATTATTTTTTTTTTTTTTTTGAAAATATTTTTATTTTTTTTTCTTGAAAATATTTTTTTTAAATATTTTTTTTTTTGAAAATAATTTTTTTTTTGAAAATATTTTTTTTTGAAAATATTTTTTTTTTTTTTGAATTTTTTTTTTTTTTTGGTTTCAAATAATATTTTTGCACATGGCAAAAATTGGCGCTGCCTTTGACAATGAATTCAAATAAAAAGAAAACTACAACAACTTATCCACAAAATGCTTATAAGAAATGAAAACAAACAACAAATCTGAAATTCTCTGGCCAGACGGCCAACATATGGCGGGTTTGTCCCTTTTGAAAAGCAATAAAAAAACACCAACAGGAATAAAAACAATAACAAAAAATTTTTGCTGAAAAGGAAATAACCAATTTAGCTGAGCGTGCGTGAGTGGTGATGGTGGTAATGTGTGCGGCTGCGATTTGGTCAACCTTCCTTCTGTTTCATTCTTGCGGCAGTTGGCTGGTCGGCCGGCAATCGGAGATGCAGAGAAAAAAACCTAAACAAAATACATTTTATAAAGTGTCAGAAAATAATAAGTAAATATCCTACTAAATGTCAACCAGATGACATTTGAAACTGTCAAGAAGAGTATGGCAAATATACAATGACATACACACACACATGGCTGCAAGCAGTTAGGCTCTTTGCCAGGCACTTCAAATGCCATCACATTGATGTGTCGTGGAAAATTAGAGGCGTTGCTCTTGAAACACCTCTTTAAAGAAAATCGTTGTTGTTTTTTTCATTTTTCGTTTTCATAATTGAATGTAAATATGCCATAATGATATGGGCTTAGGATTTTTTTTCTCTCAGAGAGTTTTCAAAGAACGTAAAGCTGTCATATCTAAAGGAGGCGAGTTTCAAAATGAAACTCAATTTTTACAGGATCCCAGCCCGAAAAAGGGGGTGGTCACAAGAAATAAAAATTACAATATATTTATGAGAAGAAGGATGGAGGAAGAGTACCGGGATTAAGATGAGATAAGATAAGGGTATGGGGGATTATTTGATATGAGGAAAAGAAGAAAATCTGTAAATTGATAGTAAGCGTGTCCAATTTCGTAGGAATAAACCACAAAAAAAGATAATAAGAAGAATAACAATAATCCGAAACATTTGTGTATTTTTACGTAAACAAATAGATTTTTTTCGGAGGTTGAAAATGGAATATCCTTCCACAGGGCCGTAGAAAATTGATATACTCAGATAAGATTGAAATGTGAGAGAAAATCTTTATTTATTTATTTTTGATAAAAATGAACTGAAAATCCTGATAGGGATATGTAGCCTGACAGGACGTTAGGAGTTTTTAAGTCTAGTGCCTTCATTTTTTTTTTTCAAAAATCAACTGTCCTACACTTTTGTTAAACAATGCCCTAGCTATAAGTATACTAGCAACTGGAAAGCCAAATTCCAATTGGTTATAGAGATATAAGACAGATTTGTTTGTTTGTTATTTTTTTTTCAATTTTGTAATATTATATACAAAATTATATTCGAGCTTAGAACTAAAAATTCGCTGAAGATTTTCAAACAAAATTCCGAATAGTTCAATTTTTCAATTTCAAAACCAATATTAAAATTGCAGACTAATGTAGTTTTTATAACATCCAACATAGTATGGAGGGTATATTAAGTTTGTAATTCCGTTTGTAACACCTCGAAATATAAATTTTGGACCCTACAAAGTATATATATTCTTGATCAGCATCAACTTCTATGTCGATTTAGCGATGTCCGTCCGTTTGTCCCTCTGTGGAAATCACTCTAGCTTCCGAACGAAATGAAGTAGGTTGATAACATTTTGCTCAAATGTATATTGGGTCTGCAGGACTTTTGGTATTGAAAATGGGTCATGTAGGATCACGTTTTGGTATAGCCCCCATATAACGTAACCTCCCGATATTCGGTATTTTGGTGATTTTAGCGACATTATTCACCGGAATAGTTTCAAGATTTGATATTTGAAGTTCGTAATGGATACTACAAGCTATGGCAAAAAATTGTCTTTGCAGGTCCACGTCTTCGTATAGCCCTCATATAATAGTACCTCCCGATATTCGGTTATTTGATGATTTTAGCGATGTTATTCACCGGAAATGTTTCAAATTTCGTATTTGAAGTTCGTAATGGATTCTACAGTCTACGATCGAAAATTGTCTGTGCAGGTATACACGTCTTCGTATAGGCCCAATTAATGGTACCTCCCTATTTTCCGTATTTTGGTGATTTAAGCGACATTATTCACCGGCAATGTTTCAAATTTGGTATTTGAAGTTCGTAATGGATACTACAGCCTATGACAGAAAATTGTCTGTGCAGGTCTACGTTTTCGTATAGCCCCCATATAACGTAACCTCCCGATATTCGGTATTTTAATGATTTTAGCAACATTATTCACCGGAATTGTTTGAAATTTGGTATTTAAAGTTCCTAAAGGATACTACAGCCTATGACAGAAAATTGTCTGTGCAGGTCCACGCCATCTATATAAAGGCACCTCCCGATATTCGGTATTTTCATGATTTTAGCGACATAATTCACCAGAATTGTTTCAAATTTGGTATTAGAAGTTAGTATTGGATACTACAGCCGAAGACAAAAAATTATCTGTGCAGGTCCACGTCTTCGTATAGCCCCCATATAACGGCACCTTCCGATATTCGGTACTTTGATGATTTAAGCGACATTATTCACAGCAAATGTTTCAAATTTGGTATTTGAAGTTCGTAATGGATACTACAAGCTATGGCAAAAAATTGTCTGTGCAGGTTCACGTCTTCGTATAGCCCCCCATATAATGGAACCTCTCGATATTTGGTATTTTAATGATTTTAGCAACATTATTCACCGGAATTGTTTCAAATTTGGTATTTGAAGTTCGTAATGGATACTACAGCCTATGACAGAAAATTGTCTGTGCAGGCCCACGTCTTCGTGTAGGTCCCATATAACAGTACTTCCCGATATTCGGTATTTTGTTGATTTTAGCAATATTATTCACCGGCATTGTTTCAAACTTGGAATTTGAAGTTCGTTCTGGATACTACAATCTAAGACAGAAAATTGTCTGTGTAGATCTACTTCTTCGTATAGCCCCCATATAACGGAACCTCCCAATATTCGGCATTTTGATGATTATACCGACATTATTCACCGGAATTGTTTCAAATTTGGTATTTGAAGTTCGAAATTGATACTACAGCCTATGACAGAAAATTGTCTGTACAGGTCCGCGTCTTCGTGTAGCCTCAATATGACATTACCTCCCGATATTTGGTATTTTGATGACTTTAGTTACATTATTCGCCGATTTTTCGAGCTTCGCATTTGAATATTGTAATGGCTCATGACAAAAGTTGCCTATGCAGGTCCACGTCGATGTATAGACCCTAATACAACGGCTACATTCGGTATTTTTAAGATTTTAACAGAATTTTTAGCGGATTTATTTATTTCTTTTTTTTTTTTTTTTTTTTTTTTTGAAAATAGGTTGAAGGTACTCCAAGTTCGGCCAGGCCGAATTTACAGCTGTTTTTCTAGTTTTTCTTTTTATTAAAAAAAAATAGGCTAAAAATAGGCTGTCAAATTTTGGCAGAAATTCCCCATTCCTTTTTCCCATTATTCACTTAAAATTAGAAGAAAATATCCACACCTTAACATTTACTAATTCATAAAAAAATATTGAAAATTTACAAGAAAAGTCCTCTCAAAACCAAAAGTCACAATATTGGATAAGTATTTCCATTGAACCGAAACTCATAGATAATCCCTCTGCAATTTCCTGACATTAACCAACAAACTCGTTAGCCTTTATTTAGCATTTCCAGATTACACTTTTATTTCCCAAAAATTTCCAATTTTTAAACTCAAAATAAACGAGTTTTACCTGAAACTAACGATCATAAACAGAAGAGCAACTCTCTACAGAGTATATCAACAATTGACCATGAATGGCAATGCCAGTACTGGGTTATATGGCAATTCCATGAGTAAGATAAACTCTGAGACACACTGTTAAACTGTTTAGTTAACTTTACTACCACTACACAGTAAAAACTAATAGAGGTCATTAACCATTAAAATATGAAGCATACTTTTCGGAGCAATTTAAATTCCAGCGGACATTTTAAACTGGAAATTACTATTAACTTTCAGAGCATACTTTGAGGAGTTTGTAAGACAATAATTAATTAAGTTAAAGGGCGACTCAAACACAATGATATATGAAGTAAATTGCTTGGAATACAGTGTGTAAAGTAAAAGGTGCAGAGAATAGAATTAACGATCGAATTGGCTTGGTGTTAATGAAGTTAAGCCAAAGACATATATATTTTTTTAATTTTATGAATAACTTTAAATTCGTGCATGATATGTCATATCATAACACGGGGGGTTTTTAACGTCAACTAAAACATATGTTACCTGGACTATTTTCTTCCCAAATATCTGGTGCAGTTTCAAAATATTTACCTGAAAATAAAGCAGAAAAATACAAAATTAGAAAATTGCGGCATGAGAAAGGATAATTTTTTGAAAACTTTAATTTTAAGAAAAAATAACAGAATTCTTATCTACAATTGTTAATTTTATAGATATTTAGGTTTAAGGTTTTTATTGGTTTTTATTGAAAGATCATCTATTTTAAAATAATATGACTATATATACTTATATTGAGAAAAATAATTTGAATTACAAATGGTAAGTTATTTGAGGAGTTGGTAACTTATTTGAGTTTTGTTTACATATCTGCTTAAATAGCAGAGATATCTTAAAAATTACTCAGTTGCCCAACATTGGAATTTGTTTATTCTTTCCAGGAGTCATTTTCCAGAGACACTAACTTTGAAAGTAGTGGGTGCAAAATCATAAAATAAATTACTTTGGTAAGGTATATAAGTAGGCTTTCAGTGACAAAAACTTTGTTTCCATATCTTCTCAAATGCCAGAGATATCCGTGTAATAATGCACATTCCAAAAATCTTGAACCCTATGTTGGGGAGGAACCAGAAAAATGGCCCGATTCCTACAACATTTATAACTGATAATGTGTTGATGGAAATATTGAGATATATCAAGTCCGAATGGAATCGAATGTTAATTTTGCTCTTTATAAGCTTCATGGATATTCAAAATTTTAAACCTTTGTGGGGAGGGTACCAGAAGGAGGGGACCGCTATATCCCATCTTCACATGAGACCTTGGGTTACTAAAATATTGTGATGTGTGGAATTTAAAGGCAATCGGGTTGTTATATCACATTCCATAAAAGTTATATTTATTCAACATTTTGACCCTTTGTGGGGGAGATACTTGATGAAGTGGACCGATAGTATCCATTTTCACACCTGACCTAGCAATGATATAAATATTAGGATTTGCAAAGTTGGAGCCAAATCGGAATTTCCTTTCTCTTTCTGTGCAGTAAATTTTTTTTTTTGTTTTTTTTTTTGAAAATTTCGACCTTTTGTGGGGTAGTTACCAGAAGGAGTGGACCAATATTGCCCATCTTCGAACTCGATCTATCTAAGTTTGATAATAACATTACGATGCATCAAGTTTGGACCAAATCAGATACTCCCTTCGAGAGTTATCGAGACAGCACACCAACCAGACAGAAACGGATTTGGTCCAAAGAGACCCAGCTATAAAACCGTTAATTCGATGAGACGACGTTTTGGCCGTATCAAATGATATATACCCTCTGTAGCCATATGGCTGAGGGCATAAAAAAATAACCGAATGTAGAATCATGGAAGCCTGATCATGGAGTAATATGAAGGTGAGATGAAAAAACTGCAACCAACTGCACCACTGCTGTCATTTCTAAACCAATCGTCCGACAGCTGTTAAAATTATTCCAGTGACAGCTTATTCTATTGTTTAAAAGCGCACAAAAGCATTTCGGTGAGAATTTTCCAGAAAAAAAGTTATTCGGGATGAAATTCAAGCGTGATAGTGTGATTCTGTAATATTTGGCTGGAAACCCACAAGCGGCTATCGTTAGAGCACTTCTCGTCTCGTACCATCGCTCGTTATGATACTGGTAACGTAGTCCGACGTCAAAGAAGTTGACGGAAGAAAAGAGCAACATCAGCAGAAATGGTTCGAAAAGTAAAGAAGCGACTTGATCGAAACCCGTGTCGCAGTAGCCGAAAAATGGCTCGTGAGCTGAACATATCGCAATATTCCATTCGGAAAATATTGAAAATGAGTTTGAGGTAAAGCCATTGAAATTACAAAAAGTGCTAGAACTTACACCGCAACAGAAAAAAAAATAGACTCAAAAGAGTTAAAGAGTTGCTTCGCCCGACCGAAAGTGGTGAACTGCCAAATTTGGTTTTCTCCGATGCCGATGAGAAAACATTCGTTGTCCAGTAGTCGTATTTACTTGCCAAAGAGGTCAGCTGAAAATGTGCACCTTTGGTTGGCTACCAGAACTCAAGCGCCGGCCATGGTGATGGTATGGCCGTCATAACAGCCGATGGTCGCTCTCCGCTCGTATTAGTTGACCGTGGCATCAGAATAAATGCCGAATATTATCGCGAAAATATTCTGGATGGTGTATTAAAGCCTTGGCCGCAGACCTTGGGCATTCCAACAGGACTCAGCACCAAACATTTTGGCCGCAGACCTTGGACATTCCAACAGGACTCAGCACCATCATCGCACTCAGCACGCGTCACCCAAGAATGGTTACAAAATGAGGTCCCTCGCTTCATTTCCAGCGCATAATGGCCACCAAAATCTCCGAATACCAATCCGTTGGACTATTGTTTCTGGAGTATTTTGGAAAGCAAGCCAACAACAATACCAAAGTGTCGATCACCTCAAGCAAGCGCCTCGCGGGGAATGAGCGAAAATACCGCAGCGCAATATTCAGGCAGCGTGTGAGGGTTTCATTGGCAGTTTGAGGGCCATAATTCGTGCCAAAGGTGACCAATTCGAATAAATCTAAACTTATTCTAAAATTTGATGCTATTTCCGACAATTTTGCTTTCATTTAATAAAATGAAAGCCATATGGCTGAGGGCATAATAAAATAAATGAATTTAGAATCATGAATGTCTGATCTTGGAGGAATATGAACAGTTTTCCCAAATCAGCCAGATCAACTAATTTAGCATCGAATTAATTTTTATTTATTTATTACACCCTACAACATAGTATGTCATTCCGTTTGTAACACCTCGAAATATACATTTAAGACCCCACAAAGTGTATATATTCTTGATCAGCATAACATTCGATGTCGATTTAACGGCGTCCGCCCGTCTGGGGAAATCACTCTAGCTTCCGAACGAAATGAAGTAGGTTGATAAAATTTTACTGAAATGTGTATTATATCTGCAGGACTTTTGTTATTGAAAATGAGTAATTTTTTGTCATTTTTACCGGAATTATTTCAAATTTGGTATTTGCAGTTCGTAATGGATACTACAGCTTAAGACAGAAAATTGTGTGTGCCGCTCCACGTTTTATTCACCGGAATTGTTTCAAATTTGGTGTATGAAGTTCGCAATGAATACTACCGCCTAAGACAGAAAATTGTCTGTGCAGGTCCACGTTTTCGTATGGCCCCCATATAACGGTACCGCCCGATATTCGATATTTTGATAATTTTAGTGACATTATTCTCCGGAATTGTTTCAAATTTGGCATTTGAAGTTCGAAATGGATATTACAGCCTATGACAGAAAATTGTTTGTGCAGGTCCACGTCTTCGTATAGCCCCCATACAAAATTTTAACAGAATTTTTAACAGATTTTTTTTTTTTTTTGGAAATTTGGATATTTGTACCAAATGGTGGAGGGTATTAAAAGTTCATCCCGGCCGAACTTACAGCTTTTTTACTTGTTTTATCTCACCCTGTATGTTAACGTAATTTAATAAAATTGAAGATTCAGATGTATTCTTTTATTTTCAAATCATTTTAATTTCAATTTTTAAATTTATTTTTTCAACGGCCAGCTAATATAGCCAATTTAAATACGTCTCATATGACCCAGTTGTGTTACGTCAAAAAAAAATCCCCCCGTGACATACGATTGATGCTCGGTATTAAAATTGACAGTTGCATGTAGAAACATCTGTTCGAGAGATCTCTGGAGCTGAAGCTGTAGCCGTTGACAGATGAAATGACACACAAAAATTACATGGCACAAGGCGACGGAGAACTTGATGGATATGTTAAAAATGTGTACTTTTTAGTTTGACAGTTGACATGATTTTGATTCTATAGACCCAACAAGACAAACTAATCGATTAGGAATCGAAAAAAGTGACAGAATTTCCCTTTGGACACACCCATCAATACTGCAGCATTAAAATGACACCTTACATTCACAATTCTGAAAATACACACGTAATTGCCCAGTTAGCCTGGTGTAACGTCATGTCCACATTTTATTGGAAACGCCGAACACATGGTGGTGGCTTTGAATGAAATTGTCATTCTGGTGTTGATTAACGGCATTCTAAGCATTTTTTGCTATTTTTTTTATTTTAATAGCTGCATAAATTTTCCATGTGCGTGTGTGTGTGGTACAAAACATACACATGGACAAATATGGTCATTTACAAATGTAAGTATTTTTATTAAATATGCGGTCATATATTCAGTTAGTCAAATGTAAGACCTCACCAGCCTGACAAGATATCTCGTCTTGCAATAAAAAATAAGAGAGAAAAAAACGTCAGCGACAAACATGAATTTATGCAAGTTGCAATTAATTGATTTAACTTTTTTCTTTTTTTTTGCAATGAACATTATGAAACATTTAATTAAGATCGTCAATTAACTATGGGAATAAATTAGAAAAATAAATTAACAACAACAATAATAATAAAAATAAAGATATTGGAGGTTTATGTATTTGAATTGAACTATGACTTGATCCATTTATTGGAATTGGAATTATTAAAGAGAAGAAAATAAAAAGAAAAAAAAAAACAAGTAAAAAAGCTGTAATTTCAGGCGGGCCGATCTTTAAATACCCTCCACCATATGGAACGAATTTGGCAATTTTCAAAAAAATAAAATCTGTTAAAAATATTAAAAAATGAATGAAAAACGAATGTAGCCGTTATATTAGGGTCTATACGACGACGTGGACCTGCATAGGCAATTTTTGTCTCAAGCGATTACAATATTCAAATGCGAAATTAAAATACGGAATATAGGGATGTACCGTTATATTGAGGCTATACAAAGACGTGGACATGTACAGACAATTTTCTGTCATAGGCTGTAGTATCCATAACGAACTTCAAATACCAAATTTGAAACTATTCCGGTGAATAATGTCGCTAAAATCATAAAAATACCGAATGTGGGGAGGTACCGTTTTATGGGGGCTATATGATAACTTGAACCTACATGGCCCATTTACGAACTTAACTTGCCCACTGGCAAAATCTACATGTTTGCAGAATTTTAGCCTTCTATCTTAATTTGTTGGAAAGATAGTGT